TACTGTCTCGCACTGTCTAGAAAACTCGCTGGCGGAAGCATCCGAAATACGAATACATAACATGCGTGCATAAACTGAATAAAATACACATGATCATAAATCTAGGACATAAAAATGCTGGTAAAATATGTCCGACTCTCATGACCATGCTGCGCCACATCTGTGCTCATCCGGCACGCTCGACTCCGTCTCCTGAAAAACACAATGGGGGCGTGAGCAAACCACTATGCTCCGCAAAGACCAGTACTGAACAAAACATCATCTATAATAACGTATCATGAAACATAAATATATAAGAGCTGGAACTGTAAACTGATCTCTGATGTCTGTTCTGATCTGTGGTCAAAAGACCCTCGGCCGTAGCTGCTCGTGTGCACACGCCGATGGGGTAGAAAGGGCCTCGCCCCTCCCAACGGTCATCAGGTGGGTATAAAGGCCTCGGCCACCCAACCCGGAACGAAACTGTCTCAAACATACTTCTGCCATGGTACAGATATTATCTATGATGTGACATCCAGTACATGACCCCCACCTGAAAACTTGGAATCTGATATGCAAGTGCTGATGCTGGAGTAGCGGTCGGAGGCTCGACTCTCCTTAGGCTACATAAATATTTAAGCAAAATAATGCTAAGTATAATGCTCAGAATATTTAATTATATGTTAAAATGCTCGGACTTGTCTACGCGATTAAACTGGACTGGACTGGCTCGGAAAAATACTGAAATTTCCGGAACTGGACTCGGATAAGAAATCACGAATCAAAATTGACTCGAACCGCCGGTCGAACCGGCCGGTTCGCTGCCTGGCCGGACCGCCGGCTCAACTAGGCCGGGCGGTCGGGCTGGGTTCGGCTAGACCGGGCTCGGTCCCGTGCCGGGCCAGCTGGTGCCCGGGCACGGCGCTGGGCACGGCTGGTGCGACCGGGCTCGGTCCCTGGGGCCGCTGGACATGTCTTGGCGCGGACTGGCGCTGGTGGGCACGGCCAGGGGCTGCTGGCACGGCCCGGGCACGACTGGTGCCCCTCGGGTGCGTGCTGGGCACGGCCGAGGCTCGACTGAGGCGCTGTCGTGCGGCTGGGCACGGACAGGCACTGGCCAGACGCGGCTGGCACGGGGAAGGCGCGGACAGAGGCCCCTAGGGCGCTGCCGGGCCGTCCCGAGGACACTGGGCACTCGGGCATGCTGCTGGGACATGCACCGAGACCGACTGGCTCAGCTGACCCGGCTTGGATCAGCCCTGGACCTGGCACGAGGCTCTGGCACGAGACCTCGTGCGCTGGGCTTGGCACGGACGCTGCCGGGCGTCCCTGGGCACGCGGGTGTGCTGCTGGGCACATCCCGGGCCAACTGCGTGCTCGGGCGTGGCACTGGCACGACCCGAGGTCGGCTACGCATGACACGCGAGGCCATGCGTGCACTGAGGCTGGGACAGCGCGGCCAGGCGCTGTCGGGGTTGCTTGGGCGCGACGGGCGCCACGACCCCGGGTACGACGCGGACAGGCACTGCGGGCGCGCTGTCGCGGACACTGGTGCCTCGCGCACGCTGGCGCGGGCACGGACTGGCACTGGGCCGGGCACTGCCGCGCTATGTGCGCGGCCAGTGACCAAGGCCGGCCCTTGCCGGACCTCCGGCGACTATTTTCGGCAACATGAATTACCATACAACATAATATGATAAAATAAGCACAATTAACATATAAATCACTAGTGGACCCCGGGTCCACTTGCACGTTCACTCGGTAGGGCTTATATGGCCCGTACGAGCACTTGACGTCCGAACCAACATACATAACTTGAAAAACTACTCAGGGCCGAATGTTATACATGTAAATTCATGACTATAGAGGCTAAAACATATGGCACATATTGCATGCAATGAACTAGGGTTCGGGTGCCCATTTTAACATATTTTCGAGCATGATTTGACCAAGGCAATGAACTCATTTTATTCTCAAATATTTACAGCATCAATGGTATGATATTTGAGGGTGTTTAAACAAGAAATCTCGACTTAGGCATGCTTCCAACTCAAATTTCATTTTTAAGGTCATTTATTTCAAAAATTCGTAACTCACATATAATGACATGCATGGCTCGATTTTTCTTCATGAAAAATCTTAAAATATCATAAAATAATTAATGGAATCAAAAATCCCGAGCTTACCTCGGTTAGAAATGGAGAAATCGAGTTAGGGCTCAAACTAGGGCTAGTCGCGGCTTTGGAGGTTAAGCTCACTTTGTGGTGTGATTTGTTCGAGCCAATCAACTCTAAAAGGCTTAGAAAATTCTAAAAATACTTAGAATATGCTAAGCCTCGAGAGATTATGGCTGGAACACGAGGTGGCTGCCTTCTCTCCTTCCCCGGGGCGCGCGCGCGGGCAGCAGGGCTGGTAGCTTTGCTCTCGGTTTTCTCCTCCCTCCTCACTATTTTTCTCGAGCTCCAATTTGTGTAAGAGCTTAAAATGGACTAAGGGAGGGGTCTTAAATAGGTGTTGAGGGCGGAGCTTACTATGTTGGTCAAGGGAGCCAAATTAAGTGGATTTCACCACATCACATGCATGGGGACTTGAGGATGTTGGGGCATCTTTTAGCATGGTTTTTGGAGAGCATTTGGTGGTATTTAAAGAGTATTATACTGAGGAAAAACAGGTCTGGTCGGGCATCCAAGATGGTGGGGGACAAGGACAAACTTCCTTGATTAAAATAATGGTGGCACATGCTCCATTGGCTTAAGCACTAATTGATTCTCCTTAAACATTGCTTAGGGTAACTTAAGCTTAATTTGTCCCACATTAAGTCCTAATTACACGCCTGAGTTGGGCCATGAGGAAAGTGGGCTGAAAAATGGTGTTTTGGGCTTATGAAGTTGGGCTGGCAGGGCTGTCGCTGGGCCTGCTGGGCGCGGCACTGGGCCCTGGGCGCGAGGGGCGCGGGCTGGGCGCGAGGGCCTGCTGGCTGGGCGCGGGAAGTGGGCTGCTCGCGCGTGGAGGCTCCCTTGGGCCGATCATGGGACTTCTCTTGAAACCAAACACTTAGAAAAATTTTGCAACATGATACTAAGGCTTAGGACAAGCCTTGGGCTCGGTGGCATTTTCCCGGGCGCGGCTCGAGGCGCGGGTGCGGGACTCGGCACGAGCGGCTCGGGTAAGGACTAGGGCTCGGTTAAAAATGATCAATACTTATACTTTGATGTTATTATACATTTAGAAAAAATATTCTAAGTATAAAAATACCAATACTTGGCTATGCTCGGGATTTACCCGAAAATTAACTCGGAACCAAACTAGGGTTCGGAGTCGATCAATTCTCGAATTGACTTGCTATTATTTACCAACCCAAATTAATGGATTAATCTTAACTTATACCTGAGATAGAATTATTCAAAGAATAATTTATCATGTTTGAGCATTTAGCATAAATAATATAACTCGATAATTTCTGAAAATTACGGATTTCACTTATAGTCGAGCAGTGAAACCGTTCTGAATATTATTACTGTTTTGGGGCGTTACAACATCAATGAAATTTACCATCACCCCCTAACATATTTTTAATTATCCATCATTTTCAATCATCTCTCTTATACACCGCATCAACAAACTTTATTATTCATCCCCTCACATATTTTTAGTTATCCATTATTTTCAATCATCTATCTTATACACCACATCAATTCACCCACTCACATATTTTTTACTGTCCATCAGTTTAATTATTTGTCTCCTATCATTCTCAATCATCTCTCTCACACAACACATCAACAAACTTTATTATTCATCCATTCAATATTTTTTTATTATGCATAAGGCATTCACTCATAGTACTCCTTAAGCAGCCTAAAAGGTCATTTTCCTTAAGCTAATCCTGTGCATTAGGCTTCTCGAAAGCATTTCTTTCATGTCTACCGCTGCACTTTCAGGGTCGATCAACGTACGTAAGAGTCAAAGCAGTGCTTGGAAGTTCATTTTCAGGGCCTTTCCTCTCTTTTACTACTTATGACTTCACTACGTCTCGCTTCGTTCTACCACTTCTCTTCTAAAGTACCCTAAGGATGATTGACTTACTGCACCGTGGGTGGGAAGAAGACCGGTTACAAAAGAACTAGCAGCGGCAACTGCAGGATTGGTAACAACTCTGACTCATACTCAAGCACCCGATACGATCAGATCTACAGGGGTTTCTTTCCCACTTACATAAACAATCACAGCGAAAACGATCACACCAACAACGTCTCATCTCATAGGTAAAGACTAGATCTCTTCTTTATCTTGATAGCTAACTGAGGACTTTTTCGATTCCAATGACAATAAGACTGAATGAAGAGTTTTACTTGGAACACCCTAAAGAAATTCTCATCTAAAGGCCAGGCATTAAATATCGGCTGAAGAGGAGAGCACATTGAGACTCGACCTTTGAGAGAGGAGAGGGTAATTGAATCTATATAACCGTTCGTTCCAACATGACTATGCATAATTCTCAATTATCTCTCCCCTAATTTTATTATTCATTCATTCACATATTTTAATTCTCAATTATCTCTCTCCCAATTTTATTATTCATCCATTTATATATTTTAATTCTCAATTATCTCTTTCCCAATTTTATTATTCATCCATTCATATATTTTTTTTATATTTTTTTTATTATGCATAATTCTCAATTATCTCTCTGGCTCAATCAACTTTTTAAAATTAACTTACTTTATCCTATTGATCTCTCCTACTTATCTATTCATTCATCATAATCAACTTTACACTTACAAAATTAACTTATGTTATCCAATAACTCAAACTGAAACAAAAATAATTCACTTCCAAATATATTTCGTTTGGAGATAAGCGAAATATTGCAATGGTTATACAGCATCACTTCAAATAATTCTGTAAATAATTAATCAGATCGTTTCTCAAGTCAAGATGTCATTGCCAGAATCACAAGTACAACAAATCCATATTTATTATCAAATCCTCACAACTATCAATTTTTCCACAATCGTTCATCAAAGTTTAGCAGGCAACACCGTGGACTCTTCCAAGCCCAACAACCCACAAACCTCCGGATACAAAGACTTCCTAATCCCAGCGTACGCGGCCCCACTCCACAGCCTCCTCCCCAACTCCTCCGCCAGTCCCGCCGCCGCCTTCTCCACCTCCTCCGCGCTATCGTGCACCGAGTCCACAATCCCCATCCCCGCCGCCGCTTTCGCCCCTACCTTCGACGCCCGCAGCAGCAGCTCCCGCCGCGCCGCCGCTGCGCCGACCTTGGCACGTATCAGGGCCGAGAAATAATCAGGGAGTGTCATCCCTATGTCCAGCTCGCTCATGTACGCCACTCCCCTAGACGACGTCATCAGCACGTAGTCGTGGCTCATCGCCAGCACGAGCCCGGCGGCGGCGGCGTGCCCGGGGACGGCGGCGATGGTCGGCATCGGGAGAGACATGAGATCGGCGACGACGCCGCGGAAGAGATCCACCATGCGGAGGAGCTCCGCCTTAGCGGCGTCGGCGGTGCCGGATCTGGCGCCGACGGCCTGGGCGTGGCGCAGATCGAAGCCGTTGGAGAAGAATCGGCCCTCGGATCGAGTGATGAGGACGGATCCGTCGGCGGCCTGGGATCTGGCCTCAGCGAGGGACTCGCGGATGGAGGCGATGAGCGGCGGGTTGAGGCGGTGCTCTTGATCGGCTTTGGTGGTTCCGGTGAGCGTTAGGATGAAGAGATGGCCGCGCTTCTCAAAGGTACACATGTTGGGATTGGGAATGAAAGAGGGTTTCTGGATAAGTGTATTTTGGGAATAGAAAAAGGATTGTGGAGAGAGATGCTGTTGATATGGCTGTGCTAATTAAAAGAAGATGACTAGTTGTATCACTTGTATGTATAAATAAATAAACTAGTATTTTGGGCAAATGTTGAATTGCGAATAAAATTTTATATATGATTTTGTATATGTATATAATATTAAAATTATAAGGTAGATAATAAGTATATTACATTTTATATGTAAGTATGAATTATTTAATCTACATATAAATTTGAAAAATTTTAGTGATTATAACCAAAATTTGAATAAAAATAATGTTGAAACTATTATTATAGTGAACAGAATTTTAAGTGGTTTGGTTATACCCTAAAAAGTAAATACTTAATTTTAATTAAAAAACATACTTAATGAGTTAAAAAAGTAATAATAATTTTAAATTAATAGTTTAAAAAAAGTTTTTGAATATAATCTTTTATATATATAAACTTTCATATATCATTTAGTGTGACTTATGATTAGTTAGTATTAGTTATTATGTAATAATATATGTGTATATATAATATAACTATTTGATTAATGTAAAATTTAACAATTTCTCTTTAAATTTAGCTAAATAAAATGAGCGTATTTTATTTTTGCATTAAATTAATTATCTATAATTATATATATATATAGAAATATAAATATAATCATAACTGTCATAATTTTTATATAGAAGACATTAAATATTATTATTATTATTACTAGTTGCTACTACTTCTATTTAAAAAAATATATAGAATAAAAATTAGAATCATTAAATGAGTAGTTACTATGTATTAATTAGAAAACTAAACTACTATAAATAACAAAAAAAGTGGAAAATATTTTTTTTACTAAAGTGAAACCCTAATTATATATAAACTACTACCAAGATTGTTTTACATTTTAATTATTTTTTTGTTAGACTTGGAAATTCAATGTAAAATAATGAAAACGTTACACTATATAATCAGAAATAATAATTGTACACTAAAAAGTTACCGTATTGATTTAGTAAAAAAACTTACCATATTGGGCTAAAAATGAATTTGAGTTGGAAAATGTAGGCTATTGCATTAAGGTAACTACTAAGCATCCGGTGCGATGCACGGATGGTTTGTACCTTAAAACATTTTTTAAAAATTATATTTTAACAATATATTAGTCCGTTGACTCATTTATATTAATATATATAATATTAACACCATATTTGGAATATAAAGAATAATAAATTAATTTATTTTTGTTCATCATATTCAAACAATATTTATTATAAAATTTGTTTTCATAATACTGTCATTATTACTTATAACACATATAAAAGTATTATTAAATATAACACCTAAAAAAGTAGTATTCTTTATATATATATATATATATATTGATAAATTATTAATGTACATTAATATTATTTAATGATGTAATTAATTAAAAATATATAAACAAATTTAAAATAAATATTATGCCATATATGCATACTATTCAATTTTTAGAATCTATATATATAAAAGAAGAATAGACTTAAACATTTTTAGTAATCTTTTCCCGCTATGCGTTAATGACAACCTAATTATAGTATTTCTTGACAATTCGGGATAACAAATCTCGGCGCATTAATTGTCATCTGGTATGGAATCAACTGATTTAATAGTTGATGGATGCAATTCCCGTTTTGTATGGAATCAAATACCGAGTGATTACACGTTTCAAATAATTTATAATATAATAATATAAATCTGCCAAAAAAAAAGAGAAAGTTATACCAAAAAATTTAGTAATATAACTCTGCCGATTTAATGAGAGTCGGACTCTCACAATTATTATGGTATCATCCATCAAAACATAATATGGAATATACGCCCTATTAAAAGAATATTATTATTTATTTATATAACATTATTTGATGTTACACGAGGTAGGGAACTATAAATATTCAACAAACTCATCCGAGAAAAGCACCTTATATTTATTTATAAAAACACATTTATAAATTTTAAAATACCACCAAGAAACAATTGACATGTCCTTCTGTGTCATTAAAGAAATTGAAAGAACAAAGAGAGAGTTCCGTTGAAACTTCGTGTGGTTCGCATGTTTGAGTGCGAAACTCCTAATTTTGTCCTGCATATTGGTTTTCAAGATAAAGAGGTATTATCCTATTTAATTTATATTAATAAAATTTCAACTACATACAACTATCATTTTATTTAATCATTAATTTCTTATATTTGTAGGGCGCACAAGTCATCGGTTTGGTACGCAATGTTAACATTCTGAAGATAAACAAAGAATTAGAGGAATGCGGTATCAATTTGATTCGCAATTATGAAGTGGTTAGCAACATTGGCAACTATAGGTCTACAATTGCTAAATTCAAGATGATCTTGCATGGACGCACTGATATCAAAGTCAACGCGAGCAACTCATTATAATAATCCTAATAGATTGGCTACGGAATCTGCAATAAGATGAACGAATATTGTTGCTCTGGACAATAATTTTATTTTATTACTATAGATTATTAGTTTATTTGGGTATTCATATTTATTGGTCTGAGAAATTCTGTTAGTTTGTTTTCTATGGTATTTGATGAATTTTGGTAATTCTGAATTTTAGAAATAATTGACATATATAGTTGTCCACTTTACTTTTTGATGAATGAAGATTTTTGCATTTTTATTTTATTTATTTAATATTTTTCGGCACTCCCGATAAAATTGAATCGGGTTGAAGTTCCTCTAGCTGGAATAAATGCTCGTCTGGGAAACTCTCGCTGAGGTCAAGCTGCTCCTCCACATGTGTCAATCGACTCAGGTGATCAGCCACTGAGTTCTCGACACCCTTCTTGTCCCGGATCTCCAAATGGAATTCTTGAAGTAGTAGTATCCACTTGATAATCTTCGATTTTGCCTCTTTCTTCATGAATAATTGTCGAATCGCTGCATGATTAGTAAATATAACAACTTTAGTTCCAACAATATGAGCGGAATTTCTCAAGAGTAAAAACAACAACCAATAAATTCTTTTTCCGTAGTCGTGTAGTTCTCTTGAGCAGGATTCAAAGTTCTCGAAGCATAGTAGATCACGTGGGCTGCCTTGTTCACCTTTTGGCCTAGGACGGCAGCAACATCATGGTCACTAGCATCGCACATGATCTCGAATGGCAAATCTTACTTTGGTGGCTGAATAATCGGAGAAGGCGTCAGTCGCTCCTTCAATGTATCGAAGGCGGCTTTGCACTCCTCATCGACCTTGAACTCCACACCCTTCTGCAAAAGCCTACAAAGTGGTGAGGCTATCTTTGAAAAGTCTTTAATGAACCGCCTGTAAAAGCCTGCATGACCAAGAAATGAACGAACTTCCCGCACACTAGCGGGGTAAGGCAATGCAGTTATGAAATCAACTTTCGACTTATCTACTTCTACTCCTTTTAAATAAACAATATGGCCTAAAACGTTACCTTGTTTTACCATAAAATGACATTTTTCCGAATTCAATACAAGGTTGGTTTCGGCACATCTTTTTAAGATCAAAGAGAGGTTCTCAAAACATATCTCAAAGGAGTCACCAAACACACTGAAGTCATCCATGAACACTTCTATGATGTTGCCAACATACTCGGAAAATATACTCACCATACACCTCTGAAACGTGGCCCGTGCATTGCACAATCCAAATGGCATACGACGGTAGGCAAACGTGCCATAGGGACACGTGAACATCGTCTTCTCCTGGTTCTCTAGAGCTATAGGGATCTGAAAATATCCTGAAAAACCATCTAAAAAATAGTAATAAGAGTGACCAACCAATCTCTCAATCATTTGATCAATAAACGGTAAAGGAAAGTGATCTTTACCCGTCATTGCATTCAACTTATGATAATCAATACAAACTCTCCAACCAATCTGTACTCTAGTAGGAGCTAACTCACGATTGTAGTTTTCAACCACAGTTACCCCAGATTTATTGGGCACTACCTGAGTCGGACTTACCCATCGACTGTCAGAAATAGGATAGATCACCCCGACATCCAGCAACTTGATGACCTCCTTCTTGAACACCTCCATTATGGGTTGGTTCAGCCTTCGTTGTGGCTCCCGAGATGGCCCGGCTCTATCCTCGAACAAGATACGGTGCATACAGATTGACGGACTGATCCCACGCAAGTTCGCTATCGTCCAACCAATCGCCCGCTTGTTATCCTTTAACACTTTCAACAATGAGGTCTCCTAGTCAGCCTCTAGGCATGCTGATATGATCATGGGCAGCGTGTCATTGTCTCCCAAGTATACATACTTCAAGTGTGTCGGCAAGGATTTTAATTCTAGCTCCGGAGCCTGCACAGTAGATGTCAAAATTTTCTGGGTAGATTCTGGTAATTTAATAAAATTAATATCATACCTAAGAGGAACAGGTTCTCTCTAATGAAATGTAATGACAATCGCCCTCAAATCTTTGGCTCGATCACAAAAATCGCCCCCATCTACTTCTGTTATCTGGGGGGGGAATAACAGATTGTCGCACCCAACGCTTTATGCAATTGCCACCTCTAACTCATCATCTCGACCATAAATCTCCATAAATTCCTGTGCTAAAGGGTCAACAACATCAAGCATATAGACGGAGTCATTAGAATCATTAGGATATTTCATAGCGTCAAAAATATTGAACTTGATGTTATGCCCATCGAATTCCATCGTAAGAGTTCCCTGTCGGACATCAATCCTCGTTTGAGTTGTTTTAAAAAATGGTCTTCCCAATAAAATTAGGGTGGAGTTTGAGGACTTATCATCCATGCTCAACACATAGAAATCAGCTGGAAACACAAGATCATTTACTTTCACAAGAACATCCTCAACAACGTCGTCGAAAAAAGTGGTACTACGATCGGCGAGTTGGATAACTGTAGCGCCCCGTTTATTTGTGGATTATTTGAGAATATTAATATTATTATTATTATTATT